TGCTGCTGCTACACTCCTGACATTAGAGCTGTCCCTAATTAGATAATAGGAGATTTCTTGGCTCACACCAAGAAATTCAGGAGAAAAAGCCTCATTATTGATGGGACAAACCACACAAAGCCAGGGAGCAGAGTTTAATAAAGCAGAAAAGTATCAAAGAGAGAAAGGTTTTAATTCTTAATAAGCAGATCCATGGGTTTCATTAACCAGCGTTCAAAGGGGTTTTTTTAGGGTTGCTTTTATTACCTAATTAATTAAAGCCTGACCAATAAGATAGATTAATCCAATGGAATTGCATCTTGTATTAATAGCAATACTAATTAATCACCGAGCTGAAACATTCCTCTGTGCTGAGGAGAAATCATTCCAGGGTAAAGTGGAAGAGAAAGCTGGAAAAAAAGGGAAAGGATGGGCTGAGTGTGATTTCTGCCCCAAAAATGTGTTTTTTGTGATCATGGCCAGTCCAGCTGGCAGAGCCCACAAGAACACAGTGTAATAATGAAAGAAACTTTTTTTTTGTGGCATTTCTGAGGATTTGAATGTNCACAAAATGCCTGGAACAAATTGCTCTTGCTGCTGCTACACTCCTGACATTAGAGCTGTCCCTAATTAGATAATAGGAGATTTCTTGGCTCACACCAAGAAATTCAGGAGAAAAAGCCTCATTATTGATGGGACAAACCACACAAAGCCAGGGAGCAGAGTTTAATAAAGCAGAAAAGTATCAAAGAGAGAAAGGTTTTAATTCTTAATAAGCAGATCCATGGGTTTCATTAACCAGCGTTCAAAGGGGTTTTTTTAGGGTTGCTTTTATTACCTAATTAATTAAAGCCTGACCAATAAGATAGATTAATCCAATGGAATTGCATCTTGTATTAATAGCAATACTAATTAATCACCGAGCTGAAACATTCCTCTGTGCTGAGGAGAAATCATTCCAGGGTAAAGTGGAAGAGAAAGCTGGAAAAAAAGGGAAAGGATGGGCTGAGTGTGATTTCTGCCCCAAAAATGTGTTTTTTGTGATCATGGCTGGTCCAGCTGGCAGAGCCCACAAGAACACAGTGTAATAATGAAAGAAACTTTTTTTTTGTGGCATTTCTGAGGATTTGAATGTTCCTTGGGAACCCCCTGCCACAGGCTCAGCTTTGCTCCGCCCCTGTGAAACATCTGCACATTCCCAGGATGGGGAAACCACCAAAAACCAGGACTGTGAGAGGGGAAAAAGGGAAAAAAAAAGGAGGAAAAGGAGAAAAAGGAAGGGAAAAGAAAGGCGGAAAAAGAAGGAGAGTAAAGCAAAGGGAGAAAGAAAAAAAAAAAAAAAAAAAAAAAAAAGAAAAAAAAAAAGAAAAAGCCAAACCCCAACTCTGTTAAATCTGATTTTTCTGCCACCAAATTATGAGTAATTATCCTTCCCCCTCTCCACCAGGTCCCCCAGATCCCAGCCCTGCCGTGGTGTACCCATGCACTTGGCTGCAGGGATGGAAGCAAAACCAAAGGAGAGGGAATCATTTGCACATAAATATTAAAAAAAAAGACAATCTGTAGCTCCCACATAATTTGTTTTCTCATTAAGCAGCGTCTGCGAGCACAGAGATGTTTGATCTATTAAAAATGCTTATTTAAATATTCCTTCTAGAGTTAATTTTTCCTCCTGAAGCTGCTTTAAAAATGCTCTGGAGCAGAGAAGGGGAAAAGCAGGATTTTTCCATGAAGTTGGAAAAGTAGAGCTCTGCCCTGCTGCCACACCCTGATGATGATGATGATGATGATGATGATGATGAGGATCCCTTTCCAAGAGCTGTTGGTGTAAGCAATGGCTCCGTCCAAATGAAAATTATAAATAATTAACAGGATGCAGATTGCCATTATTGGAAAGCCTCTGGGCCTTACACGGCGAGTCGTTTCAATTATTGAAAAGTATTAATAAACTGAAACATTCTTGGGGTTTTAATTCCATTTAATTTGTCTGGGCTTTTTGTGGTTTTAGAGCACCTGCCTCAAGTGTGAAAAAGCCAAGAGTTCTCCTTATGATCCCCAAAAACCGAGGGAATTCTCCCAAAATCTCCAAAATTCAGGGAGTGTTTCCCATTATTTCCAAATCCCAGGGAGTGTTCCCTGTGATCTCCAGATTCCAAGGAATTCTCTCCATGATCTCCAAAACTCAGGGAGTTCTCTCCATTATTTACAAATTCCAGGGAGTTCTCCCCATGATTTCTAAATCCCAGAGAGTTCTCTCCATGATTTTCACATCCCAAGGAGTTCTCCCCACAATCTCCAAATCCCAGGGAGTTCTCCCCATGAATTCCAAATCCCAGAGAGTTCTCCCCATGATCCATCCTGCTGGAATGTTCTGGAACATGGGAGTGACCATCTCTGGAATGTTCTGGTCAGGCTCTCTCCTGAGCTGTCCTCTCCCCCAGCCATGAAAAATGGAAGGCAACAGAAATCCCAGATCTTTGGGGGGAAAAAACCACTTTTCAGTGAAATTGTTCCAAACCAGTGACCTCTGATCAGTTTGGGGCCAAAGGAGGCTGAAGGGGCACAAAGAGCTCCCAGAGAACATTTGTTGGTGTCTTTAGGTGAATAAACCACATAAGAGGTGATCAGTGACACAAAACCCCTCCCTGAAGGCAGTTTTGACAAAAGAGAACATCTCCAGGAATTGCAGCACTATTTCTGGTGACACCCTGCAGATCCCTGGGCAGTGATGATCCTTTTTTGCCCCCAAAGCTGTAAAAATGYTTTTCCCAGCTCTCCCCCTGCACARAGCGAGGTTTGTCCGCGCAGCCAAAGCCTCGAACRGCACAAGGGAGGGCTCTGCTGGAGGCAAATCGGAGCTACAGCACCAGAGCTGTCCTCTGCTCCACCTTAAAAACAGCCCCGGACCTGGCATTTCACCCCAAAAAACCCAGGGGTTATTTTTATATACCCTTTTAAATATTTTATATACCCTTT